TAAATTATTTAGAGAATTAACTAAATAGGAAACTTTTTCATCTATATTTTCTTGATCGAAAATTCTAAAAAAAGATGTATTGAATAAATCTTTTTGCAAAAGATCTTGATCGAAATTCTTAAAACTCCTATATGTACAATATTTAGGCCCTTGTTGTTCATCGCGCATTCTTAATTTACAATATATACCAAAGTGATCCGATATACCTGAATGAATAATGCCATGTTCTACCTTGCAACCATCCCGAACTATAATATAGTCGAAAAGGGTTGCAGAGGTAGCAGTAACTCTGGTGGGAGTGTCTATTAGTTGCCGAAGGCTTTATACATCCAGCATCGAATAAAAATTTTTTACTTGACTATTTTGAACATTTTGTAAATCTAAGTCAGAGAATAACCACTATTACAGAAATGAAGGCTTGCGTCGGCACGTTTGATGTCGGGGTGGCCAAAATTTAAAGTGACACTCGCTGACAGTTGACGTTCTTGCCGGTTGTTACACTGGTAAAAATTACCAAGATTCTTATAAATTCGGATAATACACTGAGAAAAGGATTTAAATATATGTAACAAACTTATTTAGCAACATCCACTATTTCTTCTCTGAATTAAAGGTTAGTGATATAATTAGAAAAAATAAGGCTTCACAATAATTTATTTTGAAGTAAATTGTACTGACCGCTATATTAAAAAAGAGTTTTTACTTGAGGAACCAGACCGAATGCTCGTTGTACTTAATTCATCAGTTTTTTTTAGATAACATTAACTCTTTAACAGAGGAATTCTATTAAAAATTATTGATGTATTAATTAATTGTATACTTTCCTGAAAAATACCTTCAACTATGATAGTTGGATCTAGAAAAATAGATTAAACTGATAATAACTGGCATTAAAAATGCAAATACTTCCGTACTGTCATTTTGAAAGCCTTTTATGTGTTTTAGAGCCTTATCATATGTCAATAATTAATCCTTGTATTAAGACTTTCGCCATACTCTTATAATAATTTGACAACTCCGTGGATAAATCTGTGATTTTTTACAATTCCATTTTTGTAAACAAAATTAATCAAGTAGTTGTTGGTAGAAAAGCATCACCAATAATTGGCGTATCGATTTATTACACTGTTTTACACTAGCACTAGCTCAAATGGCTTTTCTTTCGAGTCTTCTGTGCAGAGTTGTCCAGTAATTGCAGCACTTCATTAACGTGGGAGTGGAGTTGACCCTCATGTTTTGCAGTAACCTCTTTTTCTTATTTGTCTGTATGAAGATAATCGTTTAGATACAGCCAGGGTGCATCAATGATACATCTTAGGATTTTATTTTGGAAAACTTATATTATGGCACATCCTCGTAGCTGTATTTCAAAAATCCAGACTGAATTTGTTGTATACATAAATTTGCATTTTTAGATGCATAATTATTATAACTTTGAATTAAATTGAGATTTGAATAAAAGTACTGTAGGAAAAAGATTGTTATAAATAAAACACGTACCCATACTGACTATTAATTTTATTAAACCAAAATACGAAAAACATATATATTACAAAAATCAGATTAATAAAAATATCAATATGAAAAATACCTACACATTAAAAGGCACAAAATTTTAGACAAAGGAATATGCCCTAGGTCCTAAAAAATACAAGGTAGGCGCAAACTGCTTGTATTCATTGGATTGTCTTCTAGCTAGAGGCTTTTTGTTTTTAAATTCCGCTTGAGATTTAACTAATCTGCAAATGGTTGGTTTAAAAATTGTGGCCCAACTGAAGGATATTTTTGGGACTGGCACATGCATTATCAAAATAGAAACAACAATATCTTTTCAATCTTCAAAGTTAGTCATTCTTTTGCTGGGACCTAAAAAAAAATATTTAAATTAAAAAATACATAAAAACAACACTTTTATATTATTTTTAATACCTGGTGCACTGAGAAAATCGTCGTGGGATTTAGTAGGGTACAGATTCATTCAGAATGATCAATTATTTCATTTGTTGTGGGTGTGTGTCAGAATATTGTCAAAAGTACATTTTCAAATAAACATTTCCGAGTTGATCCAAATGAAAAACTACTGGGCTGGAAATGTTTTTTACACAATTGGTAGCTTTTGTGTAATTATTCACTGGTTATATTTATCAAGTCTTCTCGACTACAGGCTCTTAACAACATGGGAAACCTAAAAAAATACAAAATACATTGTCATAGGTACATAAATATAATTTGATTTAAAAATGATAATAAAATAATTGTTTTGATTAAATAGCCAAATAAATAACATACAGTTAACATTGCTGCATTTGAAAAGTACCTCGTTTTACTCATTTTACTCGAAGCCGTTCTCGATGGGATCTGCTCCATGGTATTTTAATGCAGAACTGATAAGTCAAGTAAGATCTATTTCCTCCGAATTAAATTTTAGAGCTTACGGAGTAAATGTAATTTATGTGACAATGGACAAAGAAAAAAGCAGAAAACTATTTTTGACTATACAGTTCACTGGAAAAAAGCAACTGAAGTTGTAGATGTATTTCTGTGAGATGCACAGACATTTGTCTTTTGTGTCACAGTTTATTCTGTTTCATCTTATTTACATATCTGGTTATTAAGAGCAAAAAATATTTATGAAATGTTAGATGAAAAATACCACAGTTAAAAATGAAGTTTATTTTACAACTTGCAACAAAAACCAGGAGAAGAGAAATCAAATTTGATTTAAAAGAAAGGTTTTAGTTTATTCTAATGGAAACCGGAAACACAAACAAATCTATAGCTGTTCTTTTATTCCACATAAGCTCGATTATCACATGATTAAAAAAATTCTACTAGTTCTACTTCGTTCCACGAGGTACTTTTCAAACGTAGCACATAACGTTAGAAATCTGGATATCTGGATCAAAATTTTAACTATTTGTTAGGTAGAGCTATCAGTTTTCCTCATTTAAATTGCATAACTTATTTTGCATACCTTTCTGAAACTGGGAAATGAAAAATAACCAGTATTCGAATCCGTTCGAGATAGACATGGGCCATAAACACATCTCTTTCTTTTAGATTCCATCAGTTCACTAAAAAACTATTTTGCTTAAATAAAATAAATAAAAATATGTAAATAGCTCAGCACATACCACAAAAAGTCTTCGATTAAAAACATGTTTACTGACCAATGTTCATAAAATAGACAAAGGAAAGCACTAAACACAGATTTACTCAATAATTGTTAAAAAATATACAAAGGAAAACACTAAAATACACTTAAATTCGATAAAAAAAAAATCTTAAATTACAAATGACTGATCCTGACACATCAAAACAACACTCGTGACATGACAGTTTTGCCGGTTATAAAATGGCGGCCCTGATCATGCGCAAAAAATTTTGGACCCCAAAAATTGACGTGCCTTCGCTTCTGTAAAAGTATTCTGTGTCTAAGTTAAAATCGCCCATGCAAACAATTTCGTCATGAGTAGGAGCTATTGTGATTAGGCAGTCCTCAAGTTCATTAAGAAAAAGATTAGTATTTTGTTCTTGTGGCTTGTATATCACCCCTACCGCAACTGACTTTTTTTCAGTGACTATTGGTTAAATTCTACAATTTCACCAGTAAAAACATTAACAAATTAATATTTTACACCTACTAAATAAATAAACAATTCTTAAATAGTTCGACTGCTTTTTACCATAATATAATGTGAAGTCATAAAACTATAAATAGCATTTTTCTCAGAATACCGAACGTCGAACACCTGTGTTTTTAGGTGCACAGCGATGCATTGGAACAAAATGAGTGTCCGCCGCATAGTTAACGAAGCACAAATGACGTATTTCATTATGTCATGATGTTTTCATTGGTTGAAACCGAATAGGTGCGTGAACTATGCCCCGGACACTCATTTCGTCCCAACAGTATATATTAGGGTGAGCTCGACGCGAGCAGTTCAGTTGTATGTTTGCCATCATTCAGTAGTTGTCTTATTGCCATCGAGTTCAGTTGTCTTTTTGCCATTATAGCTCACAGTTGTCTTTGCCAGGTGCTTTCTGCCGACGGCACGTTACTTTCTATATTTTTACAAGCATTTAATGCATTTTATTTTCTGGTGAAAGTTATTTCTTCTACAATTGTTATGGCATAAGAAATTCTACAAACAAATGTTTTCAAGTTGGTAACTAAAAAATCAACTATATTAGTTAATCAAATTGTGATGAACTAAAATTGTAAATATTTAAAAGTGTTTAGTGAAGATAAGAAAATTGTTATATCTAAATGGAATCAATCACTATGTATTTACTTCAGTGAAAATAGTGAATTAAAAACACTTCTTTTTCTACTACCTATGACTCGTTAGTTATTTCTACAAAAGAACCCAATTTTTCTAACACCAGCGACATATGCTACAGAACATTTTTACCAAAGAAATATTCGGAAGTAACACCGGTATTTTTTCAACTATTTTAATCCAAAATAGCTCCCATACATAATTCTATAGGCATTCTATTACCTCAGAAATTATCTTATTACTAATATATAAACATAACCCTTTCCCTCTACAGTTTCTGTCCGCCCTGTATAAATAGTAGCCATCAAAATTTAAATAATTATCACTAATATTATGATTCAACCATGTTTCACACACCAACAATATGTCTATAGAATTGTCTAAAACCAATTGTTTAATATTGTATAAAGAAGGCAACAATGATCTTGCGTTAATGAAACCAATATTTAGGAAGTGCATTTTTTAACAGATAATCCGCCCGAGTTAAAACTTCAAAAATAATAAAATAATTTTTATCGAAAATGAAATAAATATTCTACAAAGCCAGCCGTTTTTAAAACAAAAATTCAACTAAAGATAAGAACTCGACTCGACTAACTGGAATAGCCGAACTGGTCGCAATGCTACATATTTAATCCTATAAAATAACAAAACGTAACATGAAATATAAGAAAATAGATATTTTATTATGGTACATAGCAGATAGTATCCTGTAATTTAAACCGAAAGTTTGTTAATATTATCTTGATTTTCAATTCTAATAACCCGTTGCTGATTATCTAACTTAAGAAAAATCTTCCCGGAGATCGTCCATACTTTCCCCTTGTCTCCAACTTTTTTTGTAGCTTCCTGTTCCATATTTAATTGGTCCTTGGTCAGGTCTTCTTTTATTACAACCTTGATGGACTTTAGAAGCTTCTTGTTATTATATACTAAATTTTTGTAATAATTTGTAGAGAATCTAACCATTATTGTTCTATTTTTATTTGTTTCGGTTTTGCCTAGTCGGTAGCAGAACTCCATACTGTCATCCTTCAGCTTAAGTTTCATTTGTTTAGTAAAAATATTTGTTATAATTTTTCTGACATTTTCATTTTCTGTAGATTCTGTGACACCGTATACTCTTATATTTCTACTTCTTCCAACACCTTTCTGCTTATTTTGTTGTTCAACCAAATTTTTAATAATATCTTCCTGCTTCTGCAGCTTTTCATTGATTTCATGATTCTTCTGTATTATTTCATTAAATTGTTTATTATACTTTTCTTCGATTATATTAGTAATTGTTTGGGTTACTTGACTAATGAAATCATCAGAAGTACATAATTTAATCACAAGATTTTTAATAATTGAGTGCAATTCGTCTTCACCCTTCATTTGATTTCTCGTTGGAGGCATTATAAAAAAATAAATCAAAACTTACTGCAGTTCGGCCTTATGAAATAACTTGCAATTTTGGACAAATGAAGTTCGGTACTATCACAACTATTACTCCAAAAATCAGAATTTTATGTTACGTTTAACAACAGTTTTTTAATAATTTAATCGCAGCACTGCGAAATACGTTTAGCCTTTACGAGACATCGTATCTACTCTATATTGCCTTCCTTTTTCGTTGAGGTCCATTACTTATAGCTCAGGTGGTACATTTCTTACATCAGTCCTTTACATCATCGGAACTGTTCATCCAGTAAAACCTTTCCCGAATTCTCAGAAGGGTTTTCCTAACACCGAGATATCCTCCTGATGGACTGTCGTGTAACTGACGGAGTACTTCAGCTACTCTACTTCTTGGAATGACCAACTGTTCTCGGAACCATCATCATTTTCAAGTACTTGCTTTAATAAGCCATCTTACAGGATAAAGGAGTTCCACTGAGCCAAATACGACTTAAGTACTGGAGAGAGATTAGATACTTCTTGCCAAGTAGGTCGACGATTTTCCTCTTTCCATTGCCGCATCTTCTTTAAAACGGTATCATTATCTTGTTCTTCCCTAATTTTAGCAGGGGCCCACGCATCGTTGACTACAGTTGTTCTTAGTAGTCCACTTTCTTTGGATTCCGCTTTGATGCAGTGGGAGCACTCTGCTGGACATGGTCTTCTAGAGAGAGAATTGGCATTTTTGTGACTTATTCCGGCTTGATGTTTAATCTTGAAGTGGTACTCTTGAAGTCGTTCAATCCATCTGGCAATTTGACCCGCTGGGTTCTTAAATTGCATTAACCACTTAAGGGCTTCCGTACAGGTATTGGTAAAAGTGTTCCAAGCACTTTACAACTGCCAGGAGTTCTCTTCTTGTAACGCAGTAATTTCGTTCGAGAGCACTTTACTAAAATAACCTAGTACTCTTTCTTTCCCTTCCTGAATCTGTAAAAGCACTCCTCCAATTCCCACATTACTAGCATCGGTATCCAGGATAAATTCTCCCTCTGTTAGTGGGTAGCCCAGTATTGTTGCTGTTGTTAAATGGTTCTTTAATGTTTCAAAGGCAGTTTGGCAGTCCTCGTCCCAGCAGAATTCCCTCGCTTCTTCTGTGAGTCGTGTTAATGGTTTAGCAATATTTGCAAATTTCCTGATGAATCTTTGACTCAACTGGCGGTAATCCATACAGAACCTCGTAGTTCCATTCTTTTTCTGGACGAGGACTACCGGAGAGACCCATGGGCTGGTAGAAGGTTCTATCACCCTGTCTTCCTTTATTTTCTGAACAATTTTTTTAGCTTCCTCTCCCTTGGCCTTTGGTAATCTTCGAGCTGATTGAAGAATCGGCCTGGTGTCACCAGTGTCAATTTTGTGTTTTACGACAGAAGTTCCTTCAGTTTTTCCTGCTTTTGGTACAAAAATGTCACGATATCGTCGAAGAAATTCCTTTATTTTTTTTCTCTTATTGATTCAGAGATTGACTAGCAACTGCAATAATTTGCTCAAATTTGTCATTGGAATTATCAGAAGTTGTAGTCTAACGAATTATGGAGGTTACTGGTACACACGTTCCGATTCTGGTCTCTTTCTTGATGGTAATCGGGTGATCATTAACGTTTATGAGACGGACTGGAATTTCTTTAGCAGTCGTGACCAACCCCTTTCCGATCATAATACCTCGTCCAACCTCTTAATCGTGGTTCCAAGGTCCATCATGACAGGTATTCCTTCTTCCACATTTTCTTAAAGCCGTGCTACTATAACAGTTTCACTTCTGCCAGGTACCACCGTATCCTGTACAGCAACTGGCACGGTACTGTCCCCATATGGATGTAGGAATATCTCTTCGGCACCAACTTTGATCACTCTGTTCTTAAAGTCTTACTGGAAACCATGTAAGTTCATTACATTCATTCCAAGTATAACATCTTCTTCGATATCAACGACAATAACCGTATGAGTGAACTTTTCTGTACCAATTCTCAATTGAACCTAAATTTCGCCATGGATGTTGGCACTTTCACCTCTGGCAGTCCGCCGTCGCAATCCTGTTGGTAGAAGTTTTTCATAGTTGTTGATCGTATAATAGTCCTAGTTGCTCCAGTATCTACCAACAGTGTATACTTTTTACCATTTACTTCGCCGTCTACGTATACACTATCATCGCGACCTTTTAAAGAGGCTATCAGTAAGAGAGGGTCTATGGAAAGGTTTCGGGTCGAACCCTCTAGGCCGACCCACTCTAGTTTTCTTGCGGCATGTTGTCTTGATTCGTTGTAACCCTTGGGCGTTTGCACGAACTACGTACATGTCCCAGTTCACCGCAATTTCAGCACCTGATGGTATTTGTCTTCATCTTTCTGTCAGTAAGGCTCTTCATCATGTTTACCAGTTGGTCGAGTTTACATTTCTCTTCTTCTTCTTTTACAGTTCTTACGTTACTGTATCCTCCAAAAGCCTGTGTAGCTGCCTCATATTCAAGGGCAGCGGACAAGACATCGACCAATGTATTGTGACGGCCTAGACGAAGTGTTTTCTGCATTTCGTGGTCACGGAGTCCATCAACAAACGTTTGGACTGCCAAACATTCCATCATGTTTTCTGGAGCTAATGGGTAGGCAAATCGCACCAACCTGGCAATATCTACTTCATATTCTTGAAGAGTCTCGTGTCTTTTCTGTTTACGATTCTTTAATTGTGACTGTTATAAATGCTCCAAGTATTCGTGGCCATATCGCATATTTAGTCTCTTTTTGAGTTGCTCAAAATCATCTGTCTCTTCCACGGGTATAGACTGAAGGACATCCAAAGCGTCTCCTCGAAGGGCGATGGTCAAATTTATTGCCTTCTCTCGTTCAGACCACTCGATTGCTATGGCAGCTGTTTCGAACGGCTTAAGGTAGTTCGTCCATGACATCTTTCCGTCAAAAGTTGGGGCTTTAACACGAGAAGAGTTTACAGCTCTTTTTAATTTCACCTTCGACTCCACCCCATGGCACTTAATTTCAACGTCCTTGGCCGGGTCTGAATGTTCCAGTTCTTTTATTTTTTTTTTTTTTCATTTCTTTTATTTTCTTCTCAACGGAAGACATTATTTTCTCCTCAATGGAAGAAATCTTATCTTCCATAGAAGAAATTTTGTTTTTCATGGAAGTCATATCAGAAGAGATTTCATCTTTTAAAGAAGACATTTCGGAAGACACTTTTTCTTCTGAGAAAGAAATATTGGAAGAAAATTTATTTTCCATAGAAGACATTTTGGTTTCCAAGTCGGAAGAAATTTCGGTTTTTAAAGAAGATATGTCAGACGAAACTTTACTTTCTAGGGAGGAAATGTCTGAAGAAACTTTAGTTTCTAATGAGGAAATATTAGAAGAAATATCGGTTTTCATAGAAGACATATCAGAAGAAATTAAAGAAATTATAGCAGACGCATCATCCGAAAATAGAAACGTTTCCGGATCCAAACGTTCATTTTCTAGTGCTTTTGTGAGTCTTTCTGTCAGCTCTGATTTATTCCCTGTCGTCTCCAGTTCACGTTCTTCTAATTATCAACGTAACTCAGGCACTTTTAAGTCACACAGTTTTTTAGCCATTATTGTCCACTATTTACTTACACTATCTCACTTCTCGACACCAATGTGATGTTTGTTTATTTTAAACAACAGTTTATTTATTAATAATATATTTAAACACCTATTTATTTTATAACGCTCTTTACTTTGGGATCTGGAGGCTCAACAAATATATCACCGTCAATGTCGTCGTCATATACCATCTCGAGTGCTTCAGAAAGAGAAAAACCTCTCCTAGACAAAAAATAGAGAATATAAAAATGCAGGTATTGCAAGAGCCTAGTGTTGCCATATGGCAACGCCTGGATTGACACATATATTGCTATGACATTTTTTAATTTAATATTTCATTTCATGCTAGAGCATATTTGTTTATGTGTATGAAATATTTCTGCGATAAAAAAGTTTTATAAATATAGTCCATGTCTGGAATATAGTACTTACTTGAAGCGAATGTCCATTTTTTCACATATCACAAAATAACGTCAGAAACAAATGCACCTAGAGCTCAACTACTTTGCATCGACTAAAATTGAACAGCTTCAGTGCTAACTGCAAGCCAACCGGCATAAATGCCCCATACCTGCACTATCTCATTTGCCGCAAATATTTTCTTTAAGAAGACAAATGAGGTGTTCCCATATGGCAACGCTAGGCGTTAATGGATTAAGTGTCGCTTGTAAACACTGTCATGTGGACACGGTTAAACAATATTATTAAAAATGAATGTATAAAGAAATTTAAATTTAAAAATATTACTAATGGTAATAATTATGATTTAGAAAATTGTGAATATCCTGAAATATCTAATTTTGGGAGCGAGGATGACTAAGAACTTGTTGGATATGTTTGTGGACAGTAGGTTGACTTTTTACAATTATAATGTAGGAAAAGACCTTTAATTTTTTTCTTTGGCCTTTTGCGTTTAACCTTTTTCATATTAACTATTGTATTCTAAAGTTAAATTTCAATATATTTTCCACAGTCACCCTCTTTTTGTAATTTTTTTAAAATTGTAACTAATTTGTTAACTTGTTTTCAATTGTACTTAAAGCGAACAGTGAAGATGGTATAATTCCTTAGTTCCGCACAAGCTAACTTGCTTCTGGAGATCAGATATGATTTTTAAGGGCTTATCCCACACTCACTAGTCCCAACACTGGGTTATATCACTCTGTTTGTTATCTTTTAATTGGTAATTTGTTGAAAATTACCTTATATATATAATTTTTACCTTTGACTTAAAAGTCTTACTCAGATTTTATATTTAACCATATTTTTAAATTGAAGTTTACATCCACAATTTTTGTAGATAAGCACTGATGATGGCACAATGCCAAAAGCGCTTTGCATTTATTAATTAAAAAGTTTTGCATGAAATACAAGTCTTTGCTTTTG